TAAGGTATCGTTACTGGGTCTGGTCATCGTACTCAGGGGTAATCGTCATTGTTCATGGGTTAGAATCATCGTATTCATGGGTTGGGTTATCGTACTCTGGGGGTCAGGTCATCGTACTCATGGGTTAGTTATGTATTAAAGGGGTTAAGTCATCGTACTATGGGGTTAGGTCATCGTTGCTCAAGGTCAAGTCATCGTACTCAAGGGTTAAGTCATCGTACTCAAAGTCTAGGTCATCGTACTCCAAGGGGTCAGGTCATCGTACTCAAGGTCAAGTCAGTCGTACTCAAGGGGTTAGGTCATCGTACTCAGGGGTCAGGTCATCGTACTCAAGGGTCAAATCATCGTACTCAAGGGTTCAAGTCATCGTACTAAGGGGTAAGTTCATCGTACTCAGGGTTTAGTCATCGTACTAGGGTCAAGTCATCGTACTCAAGGGGTTAGTTATCGTACTCAAGGGGTCAAGTCATCGTACTCAAGGGGTCAATTTTAATTTATTTTCATCTCAATCATAAGACGCATTTTAAATTTATTCTTAAAATATGTTAATTTTTTCTTGTTTTTATCATTTTCTTTTTGTTCTGTTTATTCTCTCTCGTTATTCTTATTTTTATCACCTGCTTCTATCTCTCTCTCTCTGTCCTTCTTTATCGTCTATTGCCTTTCTAATCATTTATTGCCCATTCTTTCCTCTTACATCCCTTTTCTTCCACACACCCCACACACACACCCACACACACACACACACACACACACACACACACACACACACACACACACACACACACACACACACACACACACACTAAACCATTCTCTCAGATGTTCAGTAAACTCATAACAGCGACACCAACCCCCTCAGGCAGCCTCGTGTTTGTCCAGGGATTGACTCAACCTGCGACCTGGACTAACACACTGACTAACCTAACCTAACCTAACCTAACCTAACCTAACCAGCAAATATCTCTCTCTCTCTCTCTCTCTCTCTCTCTCTCTCTCTCTACTCTAGCACCAATATATCAGTAGTGACAGTCAAATACCATTATATATATATATTACATAAGTTAATATATTCATGTGGGTAGACGAATATATCATAATATAATTGTCTTCCTCGCGTCTAATATTACACCTGACAGTCATGGCTCTCTGGCTCGTCTGTCACCTGACAGTCATGGCTCTCTGAAAGCAGGCGTCTAATATCACACCTGACAGTGATGGCTCTCTGGCTCGCGTCTAATATCACACCTGACAGTCATGGCTCTCTGGCTCCGCGTCTAATATTACACCTGACAGTCATGGCTCTCTGGCTCGCGTCTAATATTACACCTGACAGTCATGGCTCTCTGGCTCGCGTCTAATATTACACCTGACAGTCATGGCTCTCTGCCGTCTAATATTACACCGGCAGTCATGGCTCTCTGGCTCGCGTCTAATATCACACCTGACAGTAATGGCTCTCTGGCTCGCGTCTAATATCACACCTGACAGTAATGGCTCTCTGGCTCGCGTCTAATATCACACCTGGCAGTATGGCTCCTGGCTCGCGTCTAATGTACACCTGGCAGTCATGGCTCTCTGGTCAATATCACACCTGACAGTAATGGCTCTGGCTCGCGTCTAATATTACACCTGACAGTCATGGCTCTCTGGCTCGCGTCTAATATCACGCTGGCCAGTAGTAGCCTCTGGCTCGTCCTATATCACACCTGACAGTAATGGCTCTCTGGCTCGCGTCTAATATCACATCTGCAGTCGCTTTGCCGTGTCTTATTACACCTGGACAGTCATGGCTCTCTGGCTCGCGTCTAATATCACACACCTGACAGTCATGGCTCTCTGGCTCGCGTCTAATATCACACCTGACAGTCATGGCTCTCTGGCTCGCGTCTAATGTCACACCTGACAGTCATGGCTCTCTGGCTCGTGTCCAATATTACACCCTGACAGTCATGGCTCTCTGGCTCGCGTCTAATATCACACCTGACAGTCATGGCTCTCTGGCTCGCGTCTAATATTACACCTGACAGTCATGGCTCTCTGGCTCGCGTCTCAATATCACACCCTGACAGTCATGGCTCTCTGGCTCACGTCTAATATCACACCTGACAGTAATGGCTCTCTGGCTCGTCTAATATCACACCTGACAGTCATGATATCGGCTCGCGTCTAATATTACACTTGACGGTGGCTTTGGCTCGCGTCTAATATCACACCTGACAGTCATGGAATATGTGGCTCGAGTCTAATATTTACCTGGCAGTCGCGTATCCGCGTCTAATATTACCTGACAGTATGGCTCTCTGGTCGCGTCTAATATTACACCTGACAGTCATGGCTCTCTGGCTCGCGTCTAATATCACACCTGACAGTTATGGCTCTCTGGTCAAGGCGTCCACAATATTACACCTGACAGTCATGGCTCTCTGGCTCGCGTCTAATATCACCTGACAGTCATGGCTCTCTGGCTCGTCATATCACACCTGACAGTCATGGCTCTCTGGCTCGAGTTTTTTTGGGTTGGTTTGGTGGTCTAATGTACACCCGACAGTCATGGCTCTCTGGCTCGCGTCTAATATCACACCTGAGTAGCTCTCTGGCTCGCGTCTAATATCACACCTGACAGTAATGGCTCTCTGGCTCGCGTCTAATATCACACCTGACAGTAATGAAATCTCTGGCTCGCGTCTAATATCACACCTGACAGTAATGGTCTGGCTCGCGTCAATATCACACCTGACAGTACTGGTTGGGTTTTGGTTGGCTCTCTGGCTCGCGTCTAATATCACACCTGACAGTAATGGCTCTGGCTCGCGTCTAATATCACACCTGACAGTAATGGCTCTTGGCTGCGTCTAATATCCACCTGACGTCATGGCTCTCTGGCTCGCGTCTAATATCACTGACAGTAATGGCTCTGGCTGCGTCTAATATCACACCTGACAGTAATGGCTCTCTGGCTCGCGTCTAATATCACACCTGACAGTAATGGCTCTCTGGCTCGCGTCTAATATCACACCTGCAGTATGGCTCTCTGGCTCGCGTCTACATCATCAAATTGAACTTTAATTTAATCTTATAAATTAATATAATATAATAATTTTGTCTGTTTTTAAAATTTATGAAGAGAAAATGTTCAGTGTGTTTGGGGTAAATTGTGTAGTGTCTGTCTGTGAGTGTCTGTCTGTGAGTGTCTGTCTGTGAGTGTGTCTGTCTGTAGTGTCTGTCTGTGAGTGTCTGTCTGTGAGGTGTCTGTCTGTCTGTGAGTGTCTGTCTGTGAGTGTCTGTCTGTAGTGTCTGTCTGTGAGTGTCTGTCTGTGAGTGTCTGTCTGTGAGTGTCTGTTGAGTGTCTGTCTGTGAGTGTCTGTTGTGAGTGTCTGTGAGTGTCTGTCTGTGAGTGTCTATCAGTGTTGTCATAAGTTACTAAAGACTCACTGAGACTCCACCACAGACTCACTCAGACTCACCGAGACTCACAGAGCTCACTAAGACCTCACCAGGCTCACTAGACTCACTAAGACTCACCCAGACTCACCCAGACTCACCGAGACTTACCCAGACTCACCCAGACTCACCCAGACTCACCCCAGACTCACCCAGACTCACCCAGACTCACTAGAACACTAAGACTCACCCAGACTCACTAAGACTCACCGAGACTCAAATAACAACAAAAGACTCATGGTTATAATCCTACTCGTCTCTATTTATATTTAACAACAGAGAAAAAGTCATGAGATTATCATAAAAATTTAACCTTGAAATTAAATAGAAATCAAGTCAACTATTTTTAACACGTGAAAAAAAAAATAGAGATTCCATTTATATCTTTTTTTCATCAGTTAATTAAAGGTAAATCACAGGTGTTTAATTTAGTTTTTTTTGGAGAGAAGGAAAGTTAGCACAAACCAAGATTCAATTTTTTTTTTATTTTTTTTTCTCAATTGTTGCAGTGAATATATAAAAACAACCAATGGAGTTTGTTTGACTGTAAACACGAAGAGGGAAGAAACAAAGCAATAATTATAATGGAAGAAGCAAATATAACATAGTGTAGTGAAAAATACCTTGTGTTTGTGAGGCTAAGCTGAAAACTGTGAGGTTAAGCTTAAAACTGTGTGGCGAGGCTGAAAACTGTGTCATTTTTCATCTCTTATTAACAAAAACAAAACTAACAAATTAAACAAAAGATATATAAGCTGGGATTTTTATTTAACAAGTTTTGACGATCAAGGTAAATTTTGTGGGTTGGTTAGGTTGGGTTAGGTTAAGTTACGGGAGGTTAGGGGTAGGTTAGGGTAGGTTAGGTTAGGAGTAAGTTAAGGTTATCAGTTTGTTTACGGGAGGTTAGGGTAGGTTAGGGTAGGAGGTAGGTTAGGTTAGGTTACGGTAGGTTAGGTTAGGTTGGGATTGGGTTAGGGGTAGGGTAGGTTGGGCTAGGTTACAGTAGGTTAGGGTAGGGTAAGTTAGGCTGGGTTACGGTGGGTTGGGAGTTGGAGTTAGGGTAGGGTAAATGTTTCTTCACCTGGTTTATGAATACTGGGGCGGTAGTCAGTATATTGTTTGGCTTGTAGTATACTGCTGAGGTGAAGCTTATGTAATATGTCTTAATTATCTGGAGGTGTGGGTGGCAGTGATGAATGTTGGGGTGGGGGTTTTGGGGTGGAAAGGTGGTAATGTGTGGTGGTGTGGTGTTGGGTTGAGGGTGTGTGAATTGAGTGGGTGAAGAGTGTGGGGTGAAGGTTAAGTTGGGTTAGAAAACCCGTTCTCCTTAACTGAGCATCCTCACCTGTCCCAACACTCACCTTCCCCCCTCCTTCCTTTCCCCTCCCTGCCTCCCCCTTCACCCAGCCTCACCTGTCCCAACACTCACCTTCCCCCTCCTTCACCTACCCCTCCTTCACCCCAGCCTCACCTGTCCCAACACTCTGCCCCCCTCACCTTCACCTCCCCCTCCCCTGCCCCCCTTCACCCCAGCCCTCACCTGTCCCAACACTCACCTGGGCATCCTCCTTAGACTTGGCATAGAGTTTATCCATAAGTATCCTGATCTCGGGTATAAGACAGGTGGTGTAGTTGGTCCAGCCTCCCGTGTACACCTCACCTGGCGTCCGGCCCTCCCAATACCCCCGGCATTGCAGTGACGCTCAGCAACTTCTGCAGGTGAGAGAGAGAAGGTGACAAGGGGAGTAATTAATGAGAGGTGTGTGTGTGTGTGTGTGTGTGTGTGTGTGTGTTTTTGTGTTGTGTGTGTGTGTGTGTGTGTTGTGTGTGTTGTATGTGTATGTCTCCTTCCTAACACCATTGCTCCTCCATATAGCTGTAGAAATCAAGTGTTTGGTTAAGACATGGTAGAGTTTTTTTTTTTTTTTTTTCTCTCTCTGAATCACTGTTATAGATAAACACACAATAGATGTCTGGTTTTGTGGGAGATGGTAATGAATGAAATATTTAAACAAATACAGAAACAACAAACAACAAACACAAACAACAAACACAAACAACAAACACAAACAACAAACACAAACAACAAACACAAACAATAAAACATCAACAGTAACAACCGACGTCAACATAATTTACTTTTAAATATTCTAAATATCTTTAAATATTTCCAAAGGGTCATAAATTAACACTAATAACTCGAATATTTAAACTGTGGACGTAGACTCAGCTGGGATGCGAACTAGAATATCTTAGAATAGCCGGACGAGTGTTATAAACCACTCTGCCACCTGGCTATGATCAACGCTTTACCTCACCTTCTCCCCCCTCCCCCACCTTCTTCCCCTCCTCCCTCCTCCCCCACCTTCTTCCCTCCTCCCCTACCCCTCCTCCCTTTCCTCCCCCCTCCCTCCTTCTTCCCTCCTTTCTTCCTCTCCCCCTTTTTTTTTTCTCCTTCTTCTTCTCCCCGTTCCTCCTCCCCTCCTTCTTCCCTCCCCTCCTCACCCCTCCTTCCTTACCTCCTCCTGTCCTCCAACCCCTTTCCTCCCACCCCTCCGTCACCTCCCCCCCCCTCACAGGTGTACCACGTCAATAAGACTCATAAACAGGTCTTATCGGTGCTGAATTTGACCTTTGTTGTTGTTGGTAAGGCTGGATAATGCTTTCTCCACCTTTTACCACCAAAACACCTGAGAAATTACCGGCAGTCACCTGTGTTTTTAACGTTTCTTAATTACTGTATCACCTTTCCACCTCCTTGTTACTGTGTAGGGAAGAGGGTCGTCATATGCTGTTGGTCGTTCATACTGGCACTGTCGTCGTTCATACTGGCACTGTCGTCGTTCATACTGGCTTCGTCGTTCATACTGGCACTGTCGTCGTTCATACTGGCTTTTTTGTTCATCTGGCACTGTCGTTATGGTGTGTAGGTAAGAGCAGGTAGCAGGGGCGTGATGGTGTGTGTTGACGGTAACTCAACGTGTGATGTGGGAGGAGGCGCCTGTGTCTCTCTTGTGTTCAACGCCATCCACTCTGACCTCCTGACCTTTATGTGACCCAGTTTGGCCTTTGAGCTTTTCTGAGCTCTGTGACCCATCTCGATCTTTGTGTGACCCAGCTTGATCTTTATGTGACCCAGCTTGACCTTAATGACCTAGGTTGACCTTTGACCCAGCTTGACCTTTTTTGACCCAGCTTGACCTTTGTGACCCAGCTTGACCTTAGTGACCCAGCTTGACCTTTGTGACCCAGCTTGACCTTTGTGACCCAGCTTGACCTTTGTGACCCAGCTTGACCTTTGTGACCCAGCTTGACCTTTGTGACCCAGCTTGACGGTACTTGGGAGGGTCGACACGAGAGGACAAGGGAGACGAGAGATGGTATCAGCTGGTGTAGGCGGCCAACACAGGATCTTGTCCCAGGTGGCGTTACACCAGCCATCTGGAATGTAAACAATAAACAATTAGTTGGTCAGGAAGGTAAACAGCTGATCAGTAATGTAAACAAACAGTCAGCTGATCACTAAAGGAGTAAACAATTGATAGTACAAGTGGGTACGATTGTTTATTAAGACGATAAACACACACACACACACACACACACACACACACACACACACACACACACACACACACACACACAGCTTAACAAAACTCAAACATATCACCACTAACAATATTATTTTTAATAGTTCTTTATGTAACAAACTTTTAACTAGAAAATATATTGTGCTCTCTCTCTCTCTCTCTCTCTCTCTCTCTTTTTCTGCATTAATCAGGTCATACGTATTCGAGAACGATGCGTCGACCTAGAGTATGCAACATTTGCCTCTAAAGTGTCTCTGTGAGTAGTAGTAGTAGTAGTAGTAGTAGTAGTAGTAGTAGTAGTAGTAGTATTATACGTCAAACTAAGACTAAATACTAGTGTTATAACTAGCACCACAGGTAAACAACCAATACACTATCTAGAACGATATACGATCCTATTAATGTCAGGGTAAAAGTGTTAATACTTCCCAGAGGTCAACAGCTCCGTGTCGTGTGAACAGTTATTAATGGGAACAGTTTATAATTCTTGTTGAACAAATTATCATCAATCTCACTTAAACTTTAAATTATTGGTATAAGTTGGTAATTAAAAATAGTGTTACCTGACAATGTTTATTATTATGGATATGAAAATTATTATGTTTTTGTATTGAATGTTTGTCATAAGTGAACCGAGACATTGTCCTGCCACCATGACATTTATCGATTAAATAGTAATTAATTCAATATAATATAACCTGTAGATCCCCTTCATAAATCTCTTAAGTCATTTCATAAACCTAATAGAATATATAAGCTGATTAGGGAATTAATTATAGGCGATATTAAAAGTTTGATATAATATATATTTCATAACCCTGAATTAATTTTGTTATCTGTGTGTCGTGGTAGAGGAGACAACATGGTGTACTCTGATGTTGAAAATTCCCTTCAACAATGCTAATATTATACTCTCTCTCTCTTTGCCTGTCTCTGTCTGTCTGTGTCTCTGTCTATCTATCTGTCTCTCTGTCTCTCTCTCTCCCTCTTTCTGTCTGTCTCCTTTCATTCCTTTGCCTCTCTCTCACACACCATCAACGTACAGCCTTCACACATCTCCCTCTCAAACACTGTATTGAAGTTGCAACATTAATATACAATACCATGGGACGACAGGCAAATCCTTCATGTGGTTCATAATAGCAGTAACAGAAGCCTAGTTGCATGGTTGGGTAGTTGCAGTGGATTTTGCAGGAGCTCTTAGTTGCAAGGTTGCATCCATAATGTGATTAATCATCTTTTTTAGGAGGAAGTGAGATGTGTTGTTGGTGGTGGTGTTGTGTGGTGGTGTGGTGTGGTGGTGTTGTGTTGTGTTGTAGTGGTGGTGGTGGTGGTGATGTGGTGGTGGTGTGGTGTGGTGTAGTGGTGGTGGTGTGGTTGTGTTGGGTGTAGTAGTAGTGTTATTTAGCTGTTACTTAACACCCGACCTAACCCGACCTAACCCGACCCGACCCGACCTAACCCGACCCAACCCAACCTAACCCGACCCGTCTCTCGTCGTCCTGTTGTGAATGACTATAAACTACGCCTTCTACATAAACCCTACACCATGTTATTGACTGTGTGTTTGTAAGGCGTGTCGTAGTTACCGTAGTTATCTTAGGTCGTAAATTAAGTTATAGGGATAAAAAGGAAAGTTTCGTCAATAAACAACAGGGTGAGGGTAAGGGCTGATGGCTCCAACGTAAACAAAAGCAATTGACGGATGAGATACGCAGCTAAAAAAAATTCTCTGATGGTGAAAAAATAAATAAATATTTCTTGGAAGATTTATTTATTAATTTTTTTATTAATCTTTTTTGTTTGTTTTGTGTAGGAAATAAATCAATTATCTGAGAAAATACAATACAAAAAAATATATTGAACTGAGGAAACTTGTTATAAAATGTCGATACGATGATTGGAATTGTGGCTGACCAACAGAGTAAATAATTCTTAGCATTAAAACAACACGAAACAAACAAACAAACACTTAATCAAACTGTATTATTATTGTGTTGGAGGGATAACCTCATCTTGTATATTTCTATTTGATTTTCCGAATTCTATTATTGTAATAATAATAATAATAATAATAATAATAATAATAATAATAATAATAATAATAATAATAACCCACCAACCACCGGCCCACCGACCCACCAACCCACCGACCCACCCACCCACCTACCCACCGACCCACCGACCCCCCAACCCACCGACCCACCGACCGAGGCATCGATCTAAGGGGACCATTTATCTAACAGGACCATATTATACCTTTGAACAATACCATAAATTTTGACCCCAATGACTAAGAGACAAAGTGAAATAATAATCTCGACCTTCTGAACAATATGACCTAAATAACTCTTGATATCTCTGCCACGTCAAGAACTCGTATGGTACTCGACTGTCATCTCTAGCGATTGAAATTACTGCTATTTTTTTTTTTTGGTCGTAGTTCAGATTACACTCCAGAGGTCAGCATTGTTATGAGTGGAGTTGAGTTCTAGTTAAGGATTCCTCTAGTGTTTATTTTATGGGTCTCCTGGTCCCTGGTCTCTGGTCCTAGTCCCTGGTCCCTGGTCTCTGGTCCCTGGTCCCTGGTCCCTGGTCACCATTATCTGGTCCCTGGTTCACCCGTTAGCAGCGATCACCAGAATGTGTTTGTCAGTTTATTGTCGGCAAATTGGTGTCTATCGTGGAACTCATTGTGGTGATCTGAGTGAGGAGTCGTGTGTGTGTGTGTGTGTGTGTGTGTGTGTGTGGACAGGCAGCTTCACGACCCTGGAGTCAAGTTATAGTCATTAATACTTCCTCCTTCACTCGAGGTCGTACTTAAAGTGTCGTTCTCTAAGTGATTGAAGGGAGTGGTAGAGGATCACCCAATTACCTACAACGTTTACACCCACTACTTCGCCAAAACCCTCTCTCCCCTCTCTCCTCACTCATCATCTCACTTAGGTGCCTTTTCTCCTCTCCCTCTTCCTCTCCTTCCTTAGACTTCCTTCATTTTCTGCCTTCCCCTCCCCCGCTCCACTTAAGACCCTCTCTCACCCTCCCCTCTCCCTCGTTATGTCATGTGCCAGGTACTTGTGTGTGGTTATATGAGATGCAAGAGGTCTTACACAAGGGAGGTGGGGAGAACTGAGGAAGGACGTATGTTACCCTCCAATGGTGGCGGTCAGCAGCTGGTGCTTTTTACAGACAGGGGTCTAAGTTACGTTAGGTTAGGTCAGGTCAGGTTAGGTCAGGTTTGATGTTATGTTAGGTTAGATTAGGTGCAGGACACAGAGGTCAAACTACCAGGTCAAGAGGCCGAAACAATACCATTTAGGTCACTGCTGGGTCATAAAGTTCAAGGGTCATAAACTCAGTGTGTCGACCCAATCATAAATGCTGACTTTATGCCGAACTACTGAGCTGAGCAGTGTTGGTCCTTGTCCTGAGCCTCTGTACTCACCCTATAGTGGTATTGTAGAAGTATAGTATTGTAGATATTGTAGGACAGGTATTGTACAAATGATACAAAACACGATTATTCTGTACTAAATTTCGGATATGTAAAAGGAACACACGCACACACACACACACACACACACACACACACACACACACACACCCCACCCATACATACACACACACACACACCAAACACACACACACACACCCCACCCCATACATACACACACACACACACACACACACACACACACCAGGTAATGCCTTTGATAAATACAATATTGTGTTCGCAGTCAGGGTCTAAGGGGACAATTTATGTCCATATTATTAACGCTTCTGTTTTGTTTTGTATGTATATGCTGTGTCTATTGAGTACAGTTACATATAATGGTGTATTTCCCGACCATAGTGGAGGGAGGTGGGAGGAAAGAGGAGAGGAGGGATGAATAGACGAAGGAAGGAAGAGAGAGAGAGAGAGAGACAGAGAGAGAGAATATAAATTTAGCTTTCATTTCCTGGTCACAGATAGATATTACGTTCCTTTTTAAGGCTACATTTTATAAGGCAGAGAGAGAGAGAGAGGAGAGAGAGAGAGAGGAGAGAGAGAGAGTAAATGTTCCTTCAGTGTGTAAGGGCGAAGGGTAAGTCATTAGGGTTTAGCATACATAGATTTAGCTGGACGGCTTAAGACAAACATGGCCCTCATCCCACTTAACGATGGCCATTTGGT